TTGTACTGAGGGCACCATACACATGATCCGTATTCTAAAATCGGACGAACAAGCGAGCTATAGAGAGTCATCGTTATATAGGGGTCATCAAATTCCTTCGACCATCTCTTCTCTTAAGAGAACTACCGCAGAGAGTGTAAGGCACAGCACCATGACTGAAAGCTATTGAAGATTTAAATGTCCTTCTACTGGACACAGAGCTTAACATCATCCGCATACATAAGTACTCGAGAATTAGTTAGTAAAGAGAGTGAAAAGTAAGGCCTAAATGGTTACCCTGTGGTACTCCAGAAGTAACCATAACAGGTAAAGATAAGGAGTTTTTGGAAAGGATCTCAACTGATTGGGCGGAAACCCTAGAAGGTCGTGCTTTTGTGCAAGAAGAGAATGGTTTACTAAATCGAATGCCTTACTGAAGTCAGTGTAAATAACATCCGTCTGCAAGTTACCTTGGAATCCTATATATAATAACAAAGGAGGTGAACTCTAAAAGATTAGTGGTTGTTGATCGTCGCCGTATAAATCCGTGCTGAGCTGGAGATATCAGTGATTTGCAGAGATGCTGAAAGTGCGGAGTTAAAAGTTTCTCGAACATTTTGGGAAAAGCGGATAACTTAGATATATCTCTATAGTTTTTAGCGTCAGACTTGCTACCTTTCTTATGGAGAGGAATTATAAAGGATTCCTTCCAGATGGGGGAAAAGCTAGAAGAATGGATGGATAGAGTGAATAGTTTCAGCAAAGACTCGGCACAGTACCTGAGTACACAGCCGGGAACTCCGTCAGGGCCCGGTTGTCAGTAGTTTGCCAAACGTCGACGAAAGAGGTTGTGCATCGCACGATTTTTCCATTGTCTTCATCTTTTTCTTCACTGTTTACGAATGAAGACGTAAGCGGAAGACAATGAAATATGCATGCAACTATTATTTTATTTTGGATGTGTAATGTAATGTGTATGTGATTTAATCTTTATTCAATTACATCTTTTTTAGAAACTTTACTTTGCTGTCAGCAGAAACAATAAAAGCGAAGAGTGCAGAATGTAAAACGTTTGCTATCTCTCTCTAGCGCTTGCTTCTCTGAGAGCCGAGCAAGCCTGGTGAATAAGCTGGTGGTCCTCCACTCAGCTGACGACGTTACCTATCAGTAATTCTACCATGCAGCTGACGACGTCACCTTATTAGTAATTTCACCATGGCTGGAACCAACTTGAAAAATTCGTTATTATACAAACTGAATTGAATAGACACTTGTCGAGCTAACTGCCAACCAACAAGTAGCAGCAGGATCATTTTGCAAGCTTCGCATGTGGCTTAGAACATTTGAATACCAAATACTAATTGCGGTATATCGATCGGAGCAAGAAATGAGTTCTCATGCATTTTTGATGCACTGCAAGACTTGTTACTGATTGGAGCAGCGATTAGCTCTCCGCACAGTGGGAACGACAGCACATGGCGCTGCATCAATAATGATTAAGTTTTGTCTATCTTTCTCTCTCTCTCTCTCTCTCTCTCCCCCCTTCTCTCTGTTTACATAGCATGCAACAAATGCAGCCTGTGACGTCATCGCCGAAGCTTTTATCGCTTTTTGTCAACACCAACACCAGCACCAGCACCAGTGCAACGTGAGCCACTTTACACACACACAACGTTGCAGCTGGCGCCCGCTGCTGCGTTTGATTTTTGCCACAACACAGCCCCCAGCCCCCAGCACCCAGCCCCACTTGCCCCCTCGCGCAACGCTTATAAAATTTGTATTGCATTGCAGCTGTTGGCTCATTGTTGCTTTTGCAAAAACACACAGCATAAAATGTGTGCACTGCAGCTTTTTGCAGCTCCCCCCTCCCCACAATCAGCTTTTCACGCTCAGTTTTCGTTGCGCTTTCGATGCGACTAGTTGTCGCCTCGCCGCCTCACTCGCTGCTCCTTTGCCCCACCACTTTTGCCGATTTTCGCGGATAGTGCAGTTTGCAATTTGGCGCGCGCGAAACTCTGTCCGTTATACTGTGCGTTCCACTGTGCATCAGCAGCAGCAGAGTGCGTCGTTCTGTGTGTGGGTGTGATGTGATGTGCTTGGCCGTGGGAGATAACGGTGCCAGGACAGTGTTGTAAAGCTGTAAAATATGGCCCGCAAGGACGATCCCGTTTTCAATGTGAAATTCGTGCAGCTCGTGGAGAGCCAAGCCTGTCTGTGGAACTACACGCATCCCGGCTACAGCAAGAAGGAGGAGGTGCAGCGCGCCTGGCAGCATGTCGCCAATGAAATCAAGGACACAGGTACAAGGGGGGGGCACCACCACCTGACTGATAATTGCTGATCATTTCATTTCAACTCTAATCAAATTTCATTTTCATTTTTGCGTTTGTTTTTTTTTTGTTTGTTTGTTGGTTTCAATTGCGTGCTCATTTGCCTCTTGTTCGTGTGCGACTACGAGTGTATGTCTGTGTGTGTGTGTGTGATGCAAGCTTTTTGTGCTGTCTCAGTGTGAGTGCGCTGCGATTTCAATGCAGCTTGTGTGCCTGTGTGGGTGTGGGTGTGTGTGTGTGTGTCACTGTGTCGCGCAGCGTTTGCATGCAATTAGTTGTTGCTTTTGCATCTCGGGGCCGCCGCCAACGGCGACAATTGCTGCACACGGCGCATACCCTACAGCAGCTGATCAACAGTAACTGTTCTTTTGCTCACGTGTTTCCTCTCTATCTTCTCTCCACTCCCACAGTACGCAATTGCCGCGAGCGCTGGCGCACCATTCGGAGCAGCTTCCTACGCTCCCTGAAGCTGGCCCGCACGCAGACGGGACGCGGCAAGCGCAAATACTACCTGTCCAAATATCTGCAGTTTCTGATACCCTACACAAAGTCGCGCTCCTGCCACAAGCAGGTGGCAGTGGCTGCCGGTCCGACCACAGCGGGCATGGTGCTGCGCAAGCCCAGCACCTCGACGGCAGCCACCTTTCTGGCCGGAGTGGGTCACCTGCGCATGGCGGCCGGGCAGGTGTCCGAGGAGGAGGAGGAGGCCAAAGAGAGCGTGGAGAGCGAGGGCGAGACGCACATGCCGCTCGATGTTCAGGTTTCGGAGGAGGAGGACAAGGACCATCGTGCCACGCACTCGCCCACATCCTGCTTGCCCCTGCGACTGCAGTCGATCAAGGTGGAGCAGCAGCAGCCGCCGCAGCAGAGTCCGCACGCCCAGCCACAAACCCAACAGAGCGACAAAATTGTCGCCCATCAGTCGTCGTTGGTGACGCTGCCGGCCACAATGGCCGCCGCCCTGGGGCACCATCATAACTTGGACAACTGGACGGAGTTGGCGCACTGGTTCAAGGGCAGTGGCCACCACCATCACAGCAGCAGCAGCAACAACAACAGCAGTGGGGTGCTGTCGCACCACAAACTGTCGACGCCACCGCCACAACCAGCAACGGTGGCCACCCCCGCCCCGACCCTGCCCACACCAGCCCCAGCAGCAGCAGCTGCAGCAGCGGCAATAGGACCTTCGGGAGCACCTGGACCCGATGCGGACTACTCCTTTTTGGTTAGTCTGCATCCCTATCTGAAGGAGATGAGCGGCAAGCAAAATCGACGCTTTCGACAGAAGGTTGTCGGCCTCATCGACAATGTCCTGGACAACGTTGACGTATAATGAGGAGTGGTGGGGAGGGGAGGGAGGCTTTGCTCTACCCTGCAGGAGCAACACCAATAGTGCCCATTTGTTATGTGTATGTGTATAGCTAGCGTATACTTTCATGGCTTTATTTATCACGGAGAACATAAGCCACCATTTGTTATATTTAAAATAAATCCTGTAATTCATGCAAATAAACATATTTTTGAACGCTACACTTGAAAGCGCGCCAACGGTGCTGCTACACGTTATCGATTACTGACCTTATCGCTTAGTGCTGGTAAAGAGAAGTTTTTCCATTACAATTTCGTGATTTCATAACAAGCTTTAATCGCTCTGTGAGCTGCAAAGGCTTTTTATTTATATTTTTAGAATAGCAGGATCAAACGATAGAGAATATATAGCACTATACAACAAATACATCGATCCTTTCAGTGGCCAGCATATCGTACATGCTATTTCTAACATTTGCTAGGTGGCCTTTTTAGTTGACACGTTATTTTGTAAACATTCCAATAATAGAAAGTCGCGAAAATTAGCCAACATTGTGAAGATTTGATTGATAAATTTGATAAAATTATAGTTTTAAGGCTGAGAATACTAACTTGCTGTCAATATTAATTGGAACATCACAATCGAAAAATATGTACGCTTTATTCTTAAAATGAGATGGTATATTTTGGTATATTGTTGAGGGCTGTACGGTTTATTTGATCGATAACTTCGCGGTCACAACGAACAGCTGTCCCGCCGTGGACGTTTTAGCTTTATTAGACTTTATTTATTGCTTACAATCATTAGCATTAACAATGTTGGTTGTTGTAGATGGTTAGATCAGGTCCACACACAGCGGAAGAGTCAGCGAGTTAAATGTGAAAGTAAGCTATCCATCCATCCATGCACGTGTAACTGTCATCGAGTGTATGCGCGAGTGTGTGTGTACGTGTGGCTTCCAGGGTGCGATTTTTGTGATGTAATTTGGCACGAAGATAACGCAAATCAGTTGTGTGATTGGGGTTTGTGTTTTGTGGCAACTGTGCGACACTTGTCTGATTATTTAAACACTCACACACAATATATTATGTAAGGCACGACCGCACACACACACGCACAGACACCCACACAAAATTTCAATGGCGCGGACTGGGATCTGGAAACGGGGAGAAAGTTGGCGCTGGCTTGCGTTCTAATTGGTTCCCGATTTCAGAGTGACAGCAGCAGCAGCAAGCAGTCGCATTCTAAACCAACACCCGGGCAGCAGATCGCCCAGCGAGTGGATGCTACGACGCACAGCCTGGCTGAGACCCGTCTATTGTTGTACCGCCGCCGCCGCCGCATACGGAAACCGTGCGGAACCGGGCCCATACAGAGCCGTCATGAGTAAATTCTGCTGCACTGCCACCACCACCACGACGATCGTAACACCCGCTCCGCGCCACAACAGTGTACTGACCCTAAACGGGGGCAAGAGCATGGCCACCGGGCGTACTCCCTCGGAGGTGGTGTCGCCGCCGACCCACCTCGCGGTCACACCGGAGACACTGGCGCGCATCAAACAGCGCCAGCAGACGGCCTTTGACTTCTTCGACGAGACACTGCAGCTGTACGGCGTGGAGCAGCTGATATTCTGCTTCAACGGCGGCAAGGACTGCACCGTGCTGCTGGATCTGCTGATGCGCTATTGCCGCCAGCAGGGCATCAGCAGCCGTGACATACCCATGCTGTATATTAAGTCAGACGATGCCTTTGCGGAGATCGACGAGTTTGTGGCGCGCTGCGTGCAGCACTACGACGTCCAACTGATCGAGTACGAGGAGTCGCTGAAGGAGGCTCTTACCCACATGTCGGCGGATATGCCCCGCATCAAGGCCGTGTTCGTGGGCAGCCGCAACACGGATCCCTACTGCGAGCATCTGGCACCCATGCAGGTACGTCTGCCCACAGTCCCCTGTATGATTTATGTTGCTAAATCTCTGCCTCTCTTGCCACTGCAGCCGACGGACAATGGTTGGCCGCCAATGATGCGACTGAATCCGCTGCTGGAGTGGTCCTACCATGACGTCTGGCACTACATTCACATGAACTGCGTGGCATACTGCCCGCTATATGATCGGGGCTATACCTCCATTGGCTACAGGTCCAATACGGTGCCCAATCCGCATTTGAAACGCCTCGACTCCAGCGACTTTCGTCCTGCCTGGGAGCTGGCGGATCCCACGCTGGAGCGGGCAGGGCGCGTGTCGCGCAAGCAGTAGCGACCCTCTGCCTGTCTACTCCTTAAAATTAGTTAGTCACAAACTGTATATATTTGGGTGTTTTGGATGCATCGGACCTATTGACGATCTACAAATATAAATTTATTTTTTTTTATACCACTCAAAGGGATAACTGTAAACGTAAATTGTGTGGCGCCATGCAGCGATGGTGTTTTAGTGTTGCAAAATGTCAGCTGCGCTGCCTGAATTTCACAATTTTTTCGGTTTTTCATGTTGACTTTTTGAGGTCAGTGCAGGGTCACTTGTTGCCATGTTGTGTTAACAAGTTGTAGCCAGCATTTAGTGCGTATTTATTAGCGGGCAAAATTTATTTTACGATACATCGATAACATCCCAGCCATTTGCCGGTTAAACGGTGATGCCACCTTTGCTTGCCAACAGCTGCTTGCGCGTTTCTTAAACTTATTTTTGTTCCGCTTATTTGTTTACGTAACTGCCACAAAAGAAGGCCGCAAATTGCAGCAACAACATCTCTGCCATCACCTCAAGTGTCGCCCACGTACACATCGCACCAGCGGCGACCACAGTGTCGTCATTTGTGTGGGATAAACCGGAATATAGTGTAGAAGCAGTGGACTAACCGAAGGGGGGGAGAATGTCGCGGGGCGCCCAAGATCTGATCGGGGTGCTGCGGGGCCTGCAAATGGTGGCGGAGGCGTGCGGCCGCGAACATCTGGCGCTGACGAAGCATCTGTGGAGCAATTCGAGCGTGCGCGAGCTGCTGGCCGAGAATGTGACTCAGACGCGACAGACGGTACGCCGAGCAGGTGAGCAGCCCGCCGACGAGCTCAGGAAAGTGCAACAGGTGCTGCAGGAGACAACCGAACGGGGCTACGTGGTGGCCAGAGGCATCTGCTCGCTCCTCGAAACAAAACTATCGATGATGCCCCAACTGCCGGGCGCAGCAGCTGCCCCCCAGGGCCAAGAGCAGCGATCGGCGCAGCCGTTGGCTGGTGGAGGGACGACAGGCGCACAGGCGGACTTGGATGCCGCCAATCTGGACATATCCTCCATAACGCTCGAGGAGTTCGAGGACATTCTCTCCAAGCGCAACAAGAACCGACAGGTCAGCCTTCGCACGCCCGCAACCCAGAGCAAACAGGTGCCCATCGTCCAGGCAGCAGCGGCAGCCGCAGCAGTGGCGCCGCCTGCTCGTCCAGCCGAAGGCATCCTCGAAAGGGACACCCAATATGTGGACAGTGTGCTGCGCTTCGTGGCGAATCCCTCCGCGCCGCCCAATCCCAAGCAGGACATCGATGTGCCCGAGCTGAGCAAGGTGGCCAAGCAGCGGCGCGTGCCAGCCTCGCGCATCGGCAGGATGGCATCCTTTGGGGGATTGTTCGCCGGGCTGGGCATTGGGACGCTCAACGAGCTGACAAAGGGCGCCCTGGGCATGGGCGGCTCCAAGACGATGCGCGAGGCGCTGCTCAGTCCGGCGAATGCAGAGCGGATCGTGGACACGCTGTGCAAGGTGCGCGGTGCGGCGCTGAAGATCGGCCAGATACTGAGCATTCAGGACTCGAGCGTGGTGTCGCCGCAGCTGGCGAAGGCGTTCGAGCGGGTGCGCCAGGCGGCCGACTACATGCCCGACTGGCAGGTGGAGCGCGTCATGAACACGCAGCTGGGCCCCGACTGGCGTCAGCGCCTGACCAGCTTCGAGGACAAACCCTTTGCGGCCGCCTCCATTGGGCAGGTGCATCGCGCCACGCTCACCGATGGCATGCAGGTGGCCATCAAGATCCAGTATCCAGGCGTCGCCCAGAGCATCGAGAGCGACATCGACAATCTGGTGGGCATGCTCAAGGTGTGGGATGTCTTCCCGCAGGGCTTCTTCATCGACAATGTGGTGCGCGTGGCGAAGCGCGAGCTGCAGTGGGAGGTTGACTACGAGCGCGAGGCGGAATACACCGAGAAGTTTCGCCAAATGATTGCCCCCTATCCGGAGTACTATGTGCCGCGTGTGGTGCGCGATTTGACCACCTCCAGTGTCCTAACCACAGAGCTGATACCCGGAGTGCCCCTCGACAAGTGCTTCGACCTCAGGTGAGAATGCAGAGTGCAGCCAGAGTCCTTTGCTAATTCTTGACCCTTTGCGTTTGACAGCTACGAGCATCGCGCGCACATTGCCGCCTCCGTGCTGAAGCTCTGCCTGCGGGAGCTCTTCGAGATTGAGTGCATGCAAACGGATCCGAATTGGTCGAACTTTCTGTACGATGCGCCCAGCCGCCGCCTGATGCTCATCGACTTTGGATCGACGCGCTTCTACAAGCACGAATTCATTCGCAACTATCGCCAGGTGATCATAAGTGCGGCGGAGAACAATCGCCAGGGTGTGCTGGACATGTCGCGGGAGATGGGCTTCCTCACCGGATACGAGACGAAGCAGATGGAGCAGGCCCATGTCGATGCTGTGATGATACTCGGCGAGATCTTCCGCTATGACGGGGACTTCGATTTTGGCAAGCAGAACACCACCGAGCGGCTGGCCGCCCTTGTGCCCACCATGGTGGCCCATCGGCTGTGTCCGCCGCCCGAGGAGATATACTCCATACACAGGAAGCTGTCGGGCATCTTTCTGCTGTGCGCCCGCCTCAATGTCCGCCTGAATTGTCTGCCCTTCTATCGGGAGATTATTCTTGGAAAATTCAAGGACTAGCCAGCACACCATAGGTTTCGGTATTCGCTATTCTGTCGTTAAATGTTTCTGTTTCCCAGTACTAAGTGCTCTTAATAATCCCAATATATATCTGTAGACTTTGCTGCTTAGCTTCCAATGCGAACAAGTTTTTTCGTTTCTTTGGGAACATCATTCAAATATCGCGCGTGAACCGGTTCGCTCTTAGAACCACTGACGGATCAGCAGTGCTGTCAGCCTGGCCGTTTTTCTGTGCCTTAGAGTTATTATTTGAGGGTAAAACATGTGGTAGGGTAAATTGCAAAAGACAAAGTCCAAAATCGTTTTATAAACATCTATGATTCAGTTTTGCCCCTTCGCACGCCTGATTGGTTAATTTTCCTTAACACAGATTTATTTATCAATATTTTGTTGATTGGTTTTGTGTTAATTCAACAAAGAACATGTGTTTTGGCAGTATTGATTTCCAGGCGATCAATTCATGTCCAAATTCAGGTGTTGGGAAAACACATATTTTTAAATGAAAATCTGTTTGGAGAATAATAAAACAAATATGAAAACAGACTGCTTTCCCCTCGTTTATATTACCTTAATTTTTATTCAGACTTTAAGCGTTTTCCTACCGATTTGAAAACAGCTGATCAGAAATCTCAATTTTGCAACGCAGCATTGAGTACACGCTCTTATGTGATACTCTTTGCATGATCGTGAGAGAGAGTCCAGGGTATGTGCACGCGTAGAGGTGAGGCTTGTGCCACGCATTGCAATGCAGCGGCGCGTTTTGCCTCTTTGTCCATACCTTTTATCGCAAGATCAATATTCGGCTGTTGATTACTCGCTCTCACACCTCATTTTTCCGTTGCAAGATCGAGCCTCTCTCAAAACTCCACTCAATCGCTATTCGCAGTTTTTTCGCTCTAATCTAGCGATGTACATTTATAGCTTTTTACACTTGCTTTTAAGACTTGCTTAGCTTTTTTTGGCAACACGGCCGCGAAAGGTGTTGGCGGTTGGCGCGCGTTTCTGTTCTTAACCGCATTCAGAAAAGTGGTTCCGTTATATTCGTATTGATGGCCAAACACAAAGCGAAATATCATCTAAAAATATAGATATTAAAATGCACAAAATACATATTTAACGGTATATGAGCAACATCACTACGGTACATTCAAAAGTTCTAGTAATTGTCGTCGCCTGCAGTCGCGACTTGATGCGAGAATTGATCTATTTCGATCCAATCGGTTTCCATATAACAGTATTCCCGCACAGTGGGCAGCAGCAGCAGCAGCAGCAGCAGCAGCGGGAGTGCTAGAGAAGTAAATTTAATTGAAATTCCTCCTCTTCCCGCTTTTTGCAAACATTTTATTGCTACGCGCGTCTACCGAGCGTTTTACGGTGCGAGTTTTTTGTGCGCTTCGAGCGGATCCTGCGCGTTTCCTGTGCGTTTATTGCTGCGGGGTAGTCGCGCGCGCGTGTTTTGCTTTCGACGCGACTGCAGTCAGCGGATGTCAACGTCTCTGCCTTGCATTTAGTGCATTTTTTTGTTTCATTTTTTTTGTAATATTCGTGAGAGTGCAGTGACAACAACAACAACAACAACAAAACACAAAAGAGAGTGAGTGAGTGGGTGGGAGTTCATGTTTAATAAAATTTAATTGAAACAACAAAAGCAACAACTCGAAAAACAGATCAGCAGCGGCAGCAGCAGCAGCAGAAGCAGAAGCAGAAGAAGAGAAAAGAGCAGAGCGCATAGATAGCATCTCTGATGATTGACGAAACGTAAGTACGAAACAGAGTTGCATTTTCATGAAGCAAGAAGGAGTGGGAGAGAGCGAAAGAGAGTGCGTATCAGCGTGCGTTACTGTGTGTTTGATGTGCAGTTATCTAAGGGAAGAATAGGAGGCAGGCGAATCTGCTCTGGAATCTATTAAATACTTACCCAGCAATCCAAGCAAGCAGTCGAACAAGAATCAGCCTTTTCCCTCCATAGAATATATCCTGCTGAAATGCTATTCCTTCGTGTCACAGAACTCAAAGGGTTCAATGCTATCGATGTCCCCCACTTGTATCTTGATAGTTCAATATACCTGCACAGCTTATTTATTCAGCTCGAGTGACTGTCAGTTTTATGATATTATTAATATTATTTCAAGAATCAGCTGAAGAATAACCTGTACTATCCGCAGCAGTGGCAGACTTTCGTTTATCAAGTAAAGAATCTCTCTGCCAATCGCAGAAAGATAATCTAATAAAAGTCGGAAACGCGGATAAAAGGAAAAGATAAGAAAATTGTAAGAAAACTATTTCTTAGCTCTTCACTGATTTGTATCCAAGAAAGAGAAACAAATTAGCAAGTTGATTGATATCAAATATACTTAGTAGAGCAGCTCGGGGAATGTTGAATATATTTGTGAATGTTGTTGTGTGTTCGCTTTTTACGTGTACTATCGCGTAGGGGAGCACGTTGGAAAAGTCTTAATAATACTACAACAATAATTATGCACGAGTGTGCATGAGTATGAATAAAAGTGTTTCAAATTTATACTCGCATGTGTAAAGCGAGCAGATACAGCTACAGCTACATCTACAGCTACAGCCACAGATATGTACATATGCTGAGAAATGCCAGCTGGTGGCACTGCCTTGTGTCCAGGCCCTAGGCCCCAATTCCCAATTCCCCAACCCTCCTCCCGCGTGATACTTCAGACCGCAGTCGCAGTTGAAGAAACCTTTTGATAATCATATCACGGAGTCCTACTGATAATTCGCATTGTATTTGCTCGCTCTCTCTCTTACCCTCTCTCTCTCTCTCTCTCTATCGCTGTGTTGCTCTCTCCAACACTGCTTTATCAGCACACACACACACACACACTCGCGCTCTCTGGGACTCTCTCTTTGGGCATCCATTGGTGCTCTCTTTCTGAACACTAAAAAATGAATAATAATTGTTTATTAAATTTAGAATGGAGGTGGAGCCTCCTCCTCCCCCCCCCCCCATCCAGATTGCATTTTGTTGTCAGTTTTTCTCGCTGTCAGTTAATCTCAGAACAGATCTAGAAGCACATACATATTTACCACGATCAAGCGATGTGCAACAATTATTCTCGCTACACACATTCAGTCTCTGCTCGGCACATTCCATCGATGATGAAGAAAAATGAAATGAAAATTAAGCGCTGCGCCAGCTAATCATTCGACTAGTCGGATACCCATTGAAATAAACCAAAAAAAAAGGAGGATTGCAGACCGCTCTTAGAGTCGGATTGCCATGGGTTTCTTGGGGTATTTGAATCTGTCGAACTGTGCAGCCCTGGAGCACAGTGGGTACGAACATGATTTGAAACTATTGTGTAATTTACATTAACGAGCGGATGTCGTTGGCTTCTACTATATAATGAACCAATTACCCAGTTTGTCTCTTGATTCGATTGCTCTGCAGGGGCAACGCCAGTAACGAGTACCAGTCCAGTGGCACTACTACTGTCCGTCCACTGTCCACTGTCCACTGTCGCAGAAGCAGTCGCAGATACATCCATCCATCTCTGTAGATACATATGTATGTACATATGTAGATACTTTTGTATCTGCTGTTGAACGAGAACGAGAACGAGATTTGGTTGTTGGCTGCTGTGGTTTGCGACTGTGATTGTTGGGCTCTTCCGATTCCAAATTCCACTTCCAATTCCATTTCATTCATGCTGGAAGACACCCACTTGAATGATTATGAGGCACTGTGGCACTGCACAGATCTGTGCCCGTGCCTCTCCATCTGTCTGTGTCTCAGTCTCTGCCTCTCTCGCCGCGAGATACATATTTGGCCATCATCAAGTGCCGCTTCCGCCTCTGCCGGTCTGCCGGTCACCCACGTGCCAAACGCTTCAAATATTTCACATTTTTTATGCCCTTCCCCTTCGTGGATCTGTCAGCCAGTTTCTACGCAAAATGTCATCACATGATCACAGCAAAGCAAACTTGAATGAAATGGAATGAACACATTTCAGAGAGTTGACCGCATCTTTGTCCAAGAGAGAGCAACCGATCATCCATAGAAGTCTCGAATCAATATTTATCGATTGATAAAAAAGTGATCATGGCCATGGCCTAACAGCCTCACCAATAAAATCAATCGATAATGCTTCTTAGAACTCTGCCGATTTGCTGTGCTTCTCAGAATTGGGAAAGAAACCCCTTGGAAACTTTTCCATGCCATCCAAGGTGCTGACTTAAGGGAGAATAAACTACAGAATCGTCCGATGAAATATTCCATGCAGCCAGCAAACGAATCTTTGTTTATTTGTTTATTTTAGGTTTCGAGTCGATCTGGGGATCTGGTGGCTGGTGATACCGGTGCCAGGGGGCACTCACTTTCGGGAAATAATACTCGTAAATCGTTCATCGATTATGCATGTGGCGCTGAGATCTGTAATTTGAATGGGGGTTGGGGTTGGGAACACAAATGTGCATAATTGGCAATTTTCAATTGAAATCTTGTGCCTCTGGCACACCCTTTTGCAGTGCGGAGTATAATTTATGATTGGAAAAACTATCGCAGCAATTTCTGCATTTTCTTGAGGCAGTCTCGGGGCGCCTCTTCCTTCTGCATATTCATGAGGCACAACCAGTACTTCCATCTATCCATCAGGCAGGCTGCCTGGCCACTGCGATCTACTTTGGTTGTCGATCTTTGTAATTTTGTAATAACACTTAACAAACGCCTTGGACTTGGCATGTAAATTGTTGATAAATTATGTTTTTAATAGCAGCTCGTTGCCATTGTTGCTGTTGCTGCTGCTGCTGCTGCGGTCGGATAACTGGCGCCAGAGATACAAAAACAAATATATATATATATAAATATATATACATATAAACTAACTATTTGAATGACAAAAGTAAAGGCGCGACGCGACGCACAGATACCTCGTAAAATGGCAGAAAAGGGGTTGTTGCTTGATGGCTACAAATCCATAAATTATTTTGGAATTAGAAACGTAAGAAATTTGATACATACCCATTGCGGTTTCAGTGCTGGCACGATGATTGATTGTTTTAATTTGATCATTTTATAGATCGTTGGGCTGTGAGTTTATTGCACTTCAAGATTAAATGTGTGATTGAGTCCGCGGGATCATCGATTCAGCTTGTGCA